CAGCAGAGACGAGCCCAGGGCATTGCGAGCATGGGAACGCATAGAGACGCGTCGAGCTCGAGCGTGGCGCCTTGATGGCTTGGCCCGTGGGGCTGTCCAAGAAGAGCAGGTGGCTAAGCACCTCCGATCCGAAATCGGGTTTGAGACGGTCGAGAAAGGCCGCGCCGACCGAAAACAGTTAAACTTGAGCTCGGGTACGTAGAGTACTTGACGCAGCGTCACGACTCGGGACGTCGTAGCGCCCGTGCTGTCGACGACCTCGACGGTAAACTTGACCATGCCAAGACCGCGGACACGAAGTCCGTGGTTGTCACCCACGCGGAGGAGCGACTCATGAGGCAAGAACTGGACAAACCAGTCGGCATGTGGCGTACAGTGCGCAGAGGCGCCACTGTCGATGATCCACTGCCGGTCATACATGACGTGCGGCGTCGTGACACGAGACGTCGCAGTCGAGAGCAAGCCATACTCGTTGCCGATACGTTGGATGACCAGCGGAGAAACCTCGACGCCGTCACAACGCGTCGGGCCATCAAGCGGCGATGGCACCGAGAATAGCAGCCAATCGAGCGTTGGAAGCTCGTTCGCGAGCGGCAGCAAAGGGCCACTCTGGAGCTCGTGCGTCACATGCGCAGGATTCCGATGCGGCGAGCGCGTCCATGGATGGAGCGGCGCATCAGAGTCCGCAGAGCTCACGTTGGACAAAGCAAGAAGATTGTCGCGCTCGACCGGGGTCGAGGCAGTTGGCAAAGTCGGTGCCGGAGCAGCGACAGGCACCGCAGTCGCGGGCACTTGCATTGACGCGGACGAGGAGGCCTCCCGGAAAGTGGAGTGCTCCGTCGGCGAAGAAACCACAGAAGCCAAGCTTGGGCCAGAAGAGACACCAAGGGCAACCGACGTCGTGGACGTCGCGGGCTGAGAAGCCAGTGTGGGTAAAGTTTGTGTCATTTCAGACATGACCGGAGACCGAGGCTCGACGGTCTGCGCTGTAGGTGTGGGCGTAGAAGCAACCACAAGCGCTGTCGCGCGAAGCGACTCTCGAGATTGGCTCGAGGATGAAGAAGAAGCAGCGTACGCGTGCGAAGGCATCGTGTTAACGTTACCGGCACCGGTCGCGGCCGAGTTGCCGGCGGCGTGCGACGAGCTGCGGCGCGGCGTCGAGCGAGAGCGGCTGACATCGCGGCGATCATCGCGGCGGGCATCGCGGCGGTCATCGCGGCGGCCATCGCGGCGCTGGTCGCGTCGGTCTTCACGACTATCGTCACGGCGGTCGTCGCGGCGGCCACCACTGCGCTTGTTGCGGTTGGGCGGCGGGCCTTGCGCGTGGAGTCGTACTCGGAGGAGTCCGACATAGAATCGGAGGAGTCCTCATGACGGCGAGCCTGGCGCTTGCTACGAGGACGATCAGAACCGCTGTGGTATCGCTCCTTGCGCTTCTTCTTGTCGGAGGGCGGCGTGAACTTGGCACGCTTCGACTGCTTGCCGCGCGTCTTGACGTTGCGCAGGGTCGCGAGGAGCCCCGGGAGTTCGAAATCGCTCGGAACGTCGTCGTCGGCAAACGCGCGGGCCAGGGCACGGCAGTTCTCGGTCGCGTGCGGGTGCTTCCGGCCGAGCACGGACCAGCAGTAGCGGCAGTTCTTGGACTTACCCTCAGGCACAGCTCGCGGGCGCTGTTGGCGTTGCGTACGCGTGGAGGACTTGCGGCGGTCGGCGTCATCACGCATGCCTACAAGGGCCGACGTCTCCATGGTCGCATCAGCGTCCGAGGTGCCTTGAGCAGGTTCATGGTCAAGCGTGGCGTGGTACGAGATGTAGTGCTGCTTGAACTCGGGGAACGAGAGGTTGCCGGGCGGGTTCCACTTGGGCGCGTTGCGCGGGCGATCCGCGTTCGCGAGGTAGATCATCGAGGGCTGCACAAGCTCGAGCACGAGCGCCTGGAACTCCTCGACAAGATGCGCGGGACGCTTGACGAGAGAAGGCTGTACGACGGCGAGAAAACGCGTCTCGAACTCGTTGGTCCACGCGACAGGGTCGCGGAACTTGCTCGGGCGAACGTCACGCAACGAGAGTTGCATGCCGAGGCGCGACAAACCCGAGTCCGACGAGCCGTACGAGCGCAAAAACTGCCACGCAGGATAAATCGAGCGGTGCCCCTTGAGGATCGGTCGGAGCGACGGATGCATGAGCTTCAGCAGCTCGTCAAAGACCGCTTTGCGCTCAAGATCCGCGACTTCAACCGAATGGAGCTCGAGAAGGCTCTTCCGGTACTTCTCACGAGCTTCGTTGACAGCTTTTTGTTCCTCGGCGGTAGCCGTCGAGGGCATCGGGATGGCATCGTCCGCCGCGAGGCGTACCTCGTTGGCGAGGAAGGCCTCGTTGAAGTGTGTGATCCCGGTGCGCGTCACCGTGGGCGACTCGGTGTACATGGCCACACCGTAGTGTTGGAGGTGCTGGAGGAACGTCTCGGCCCAGACGGGAAAACTCGACATGTCCCGAAGAATCGGAATCGCCGGTTCGGGCCGGAAACCGAAACTCGCCTGCACAGTCAGTGTCACCGGGAGCTTGGCCGCGGGGACCGGGACCGTACTCGCCGGACGCGGAGTGGGAGGCGAGGTCGGCGTATCGCTCATAACCTAACAAACTAGCAGCTGGGCTAGTGGAGCACAAGACAGAGGAAAGAGGAAGAGGAAGAAAGATGGACCACTCAAAGGCGCACGTGGACGTGCGCAGTCGGGCGGCGGAATCGAAGAGTGAAGCCAACGGCTCCACACGACCCGACCCGTGATATCTTATATTACGAGAGGGGCACGCTAGCTGCGACACAAACTCCTCAGTGGCAAAACCCTCATACTTGATATGAGGGGAAAAAGCCTACTGACGGTGGAAACAGCCAATGACGTGGCAGAGGCCGGAGAAAACCACCGAAAACCAACGAAGAGTCGGACGTCTTCGAGTCGGCGATCCCAACGTTTGCAGTTGCGATCTTGA